AAAAAAAAAAAAAAAAAAAAAAAAAAAAAACAAACAAACAAACAAACAAACAAACAAGACCAAAAATTATACCTGGATGTAATGTAACTAAGCTTGGACGAGTATACGAGAGTAATAAGACTAATAAGGGAGACTAACCATACATATGAAATATTGTGAGGGACAGAAAACAAAACCAAATAGCCACTGAGTGACCAGCCGTAACGCGAGCCAGGAGCATTCCCAGAGCCATCCCGATCATTGTTGCAACTGTCTCTTGGCTTCCTTCCTATTATGTATGCAATATATCAATACCAATTTCGCTTAAAATAAAAAGTGCAACCAAAATTACTCAAATAATTTCTTGCTTGAACATATCCAATATGCTACCTTGGCTGATATATCTGCTGCATTATTCTGAAGTGCAAAATGTTGTGTTAAAGCAGCTCTAGTGGCACCACTGGCAACCCCAGCTGATCAGCAGCATGACATGAAAAGAAATAGAGAATAAATAGCTACAAAAATTGTCTGTCATGTGTCACGATAAACATCCACAGAGAGGTTATGGCTGAATGCAAATCACGTGTCAGAACTTACTGAATGACCGCGATATGCTCCCTAAGCATACAATAAACACAAAGGCAGATGGAAACAATGGGGAAACGAGGTCCATCAACATCCCTGCAACATTTTATAACACTATTTATACCAAATAATTTGAAAAGTCTGTCACTGTTGGGAAAAGGTTGTAAAATGTTGATAATGATGAGTACTATATCAGAGAGAAATCATAGAAAACTATATTATAAAAATATTATAGTGAATTCCAATCAAAGGAAAGAAACAATAGTAATAATGTACTAGCAAAGATAGCTTTAAGCCTTTACCAAGGTCATTCATCAGATCTGCAACAAGACGCCACATTTTGGCATTGCTATCCAGGTTTGCTCCCTGAAAACGGAAGGATTTTGATTGTTGGCATGTCATGAAAAGATATATGTAAGCAAAGTATTGCCTGTAATCTAGGAGGCGGTTTATATGATTTAAGTCTGAAAAGTTTAAAACTAAATGAACTGAAATCGGAGGAGCTGAAAAAATACCTGGTAAAATGTGAATAAGACACCACCAAGCATTCCAGTTAGATCTCTCAGGAACCACTGAATGTTTCAAATGAGACTTAGAAAAGGGGAAAATAAACTCACGATTTTCTAATGAATATTGACTTCAACGTGTCATACGGAGCTTTCTCATAAAGTGTCACATACCTGAAATGTTGCCCCAATAACTGTAGCAGACTTCTCACCGACACCAATAGCACTCAGAAGAGCCTAAGGTAACTAATACATGTTAATGAATAAAAAAACTTGCATAGTAAATACCTACAGATTTATGTATGTCACCAGTCCATATCTAACCTGGGTGGAAAGCATTGTTCTAATGTAAGTCGAGAGGCCCTGAAAGAATATACTCATAAATCGTTAAAATGGATTTGGAGAAAAAGGGGCAATTTTTAAATTGAAAAACTGCACAAACAAACTATCTCCAACCTGCAGGGAGTCCCATATTTGGAAAGGGACGTAATCAGGTGTCACACTGCCAGGAAATCCCTGCATTTATCGCCATTTCATATAAATTCAATTATTTTAAGATGAATCAAGCACAAAAAGAACACAATGTCGAAATTCTCTATTGTACACCACAGCATTTATCTTCCCTACAATCTAGTGGAAGAAAAATCCGAAATTGCTCATTTATTTCAAATTAGACCCTGGAAAGCAAACAATTATTGTTTTTCCAAAGCACTGATTACTTGATTTTATACGTTTTCCAATATCAACAACAAAGAATTTGACAAAGAAAGTTGAACTCCACCAATGCAGCTAGATCACATGAACAAAATATATGCAAATTAGACCTAACAAGCTAGACCTTGACTACAGTCACAACATGATGCTCAAACTCCTCGGAGCTTCTGCTCACAACTATTCTCAAACGAAAATAAAAAGAATCAAAACCCTGAAAAATTAAAGCAAATTCTCAACCTACAGTAACAAATGTGCAGCCTTTCTACAACAGATATCAACAGTCAACCAATTCTCTCTATAACATCACCATAATTCCTCTACTAAAAAACGATCGAACTGAAAGTGACATTTTATTTTTCACCTCGGGAACAAAAGCGTCGAGGATTCTCCCAGAAAGATGACTGAAGCGCCGAGCGGATTTTCTGACGGAGTTTCCAGAGACTGTGACAGTGGCGGTCTTCGTGACCTTCGACGAAGCAGTTCCGTGCCATTCCTCGATCACGGCGGTCTCTGGCCGGAGCTGCCGCGTGTTCTCTCCTCCTTCCATTTGCAACTTCCAGCTTTTTTCCTCGGTGAACTCTGAAAAGTGAAAACTACTGCGATTGTAAATCGGAGAATTGTGTCAACTGTTGACCCCATTTCTCCTTAATTTCTTTTCAGTCCCGCATTTCTGATATCATTTCTCTATGACCCCTTAAATATATACACATTGGAGATAGAGCCTGGAGAGTAGAGAGGTTGGANATCATGGCATGTTATGTAACACCTGGTTATTTATTTAAGAAAGAACAAGATTTTTCAGAAATAATTTTAATCGTATTTGGAGAACATTTTCTAAAAACTATTATTCAGGCATTACTCAAAAGCTCTCTCCCTTCAACAAACAAAGCATAATTAAAATTTTCATCACATTTAAACAATTTGAAAAATATAACAGTGTCTAAGACATTCGTCTAATAAAGGTTTTTCATAATCATTTAGCACGAATATAAAAAAAATATAACTTGTCTCAAAGTTCGTAAATAACTTAAAACCATAGATAAACGACCACCATCGCCATCGCGTCCGGCACCAACTCGATAAGTGTGGAAACAAAAAGGGGTGAATATTCCACTTACCCAGTGAAGGAACCATAATATGCATCGATTCGATATAAGCACATATAGGATAACAATTATATGAACATGTAAAGCTTATTGTCTCACCGCTGACTGATATCATCCCGGCTTGAAGCCTCCAAGTAAATTCGGACTAGTGAATCTTATTTCAAGATTCCACAATTTACCCGGCTGATTAGCTATTATACGTAGTTAACCTAAGTTCATGAACGTCGGTATGGTTACTTACTAGTGCATTCGGCGTCAACCGATCCCGTTAGTAGAAAACTTAACTGCTTACTCACTGATAATTACCCGACTTATTGACTCTTATTTCAAGCCGCCATAGTAAAAGTTCACATCACACATTAGGCCCATCGGCCCATAATCACATGCATATAAGAACTATACTACCACATGTTTATACAAAATAAACCATAGCTGATTGAGGGCTCAATTCCTCTTAGGGCTCGTTTACTTTGATGGATGGGATTGGACTAAATAATCTGCTTAACTTTACATGTCATCGTTTAGTCCAATGTTTACTTTGAGGGATGGATTTTTGATAAACGAATCCCTTATTTACTTCACTGGATTAAATGAGGGATAATGACTGGAAAACCCTAATATACCCTTCTGCATTTCAGCCAAATTAACGCACGGTGACTTGTGAAGAAGAACCCCTCCATTTTTTTGAACATTGACGAGCCTTTCTTCTCAGGAGTGTCGAGCACTAATTCGAAGGAGTGGTGAGGGTAGACGAGACGTTGGACCCGACGACAACCCTCCCCGACCGGAATTCGGACGTGGACGACATCGACCTCCAAAGAAGGGTGTGATGTGAGGTCCGGGCCCTGTTTTGTGAGTTCACTTTGGATTAGTTTCGATTTTACTAAATGGTGTTCGATTTTACTAAATGGTGTTCGATTTTACTAAGTTTTGCTTGAGTTCGCCGAAATTACTCAACGAATTTGTTTCAATTGCAATGAATTTTTGACATCCTAGTAATTAGGGTTTTTTAATTTTTTCCAATTTGGTATTTTGCCCTTTTCTGTTGTGTGTCGAAATTGTTTGATGCAAACAAATTGAAAAGGATATATGCAGAATTGAGAAGGGAACGCGGGATTGATGTTTTCTACTATCTGGTTCAGAAAACAATATTGATGTTTTCTACTATCTGGTTCAGCATAGTCGAAACCTATGTATTTGTGGTTCTTTTTGTCATGATTTCTTTAGATCTTGTATAATTGTTTTTTTAGCATTTGTACTTCACTGTATAGCATGAAAGTTCATTCGTATGTTTACATTACATATGTAAATGTGTTGTTGTTTGTTTGATGCATAAAACACACGTGGAAGTCCAGACAAAAAAAACGAGAAAGCTAAAATGCCACATCATCTTGTATATGTGTATAAAAATCCGATTTATGCCATAAAATCAACCAAATTAATGAAAAAATCCCAAATCGACTAAGAACCCTGGTTTCTCCTTTCTCATTTTTATAGAACGCGTACTGATACTTTTCAAAGAATTCGGGTACTCTGAAGATGTCGTGTGGATCGTGTGGTAGTGGATGTCGTGGTTCAACTTCAAATTTGGACCCTCCAGTTGACGGGCTTCAGTGCTTGCACAGAGTCCAACCAGATTTCTTGACCTCGAACACCGATACGAATCCGGCTAGGAGGTATCATCGATGTCCTCACAGAAATACTGTAAGCATTTAATCCCTCACTACAAATTAGATTGTGCTGCAAAATTGAAATTGAGAAATGAATTTAAACATTGTTATTGACATATTGCAGGCACGTGATTGTAAGTTTTTCGTTTGGCATGACCCTGAATTACCACCATTTCAGAAAGCCTGCTTTTTGAAGTTGAAGAATCAAAAAAATTTGTTGGAGGAACAATTAAAATGCAAGGATATTGTTGAAAAGCAACTCAATGAAAAGCTTCAGATTAAAAAAAACAAGTTGCAGCAGTTGAAGAATAAAATTGAAGAATTAGAGAGGAAAAATCATGACCAGAACAAGAGAATTGAAGAATTGGAGTGGAAAAATCATGACAAGAACAAGGAAATTGAAGAATTGGAGAGGAAAAATCATCAGCAGAACAAGAAATTGAATTTTGAGAGGAAGTTCACATATATGAAGTTCACATTTTGGTTCATTGTTTGCTTTGTTTCACTGTATTTTTTTTTAAAGTAAGGTTGGATAGAATGAAATATTATGTTGTGCTCCACTGATGTTTTGTACAATAACTGATATTTTTGTGAAACTACTTTTGTGAACCAGCTTTTAAATTGGCAGCACATGTGTTTTTAATTCCAAGGGACAGTATATGACAACTCACTACACATGCTATGACAACTCACTACACATGGGTACAGGTAGCTTATTGCTATTTCTACACATGGTTATGATAACTCACTACACATGCTATGACAAGTACTACACATGCTATGACAACTCACAACCATTGAATGCATGATT